ATGGTGAATCCATGTTCTATACAATGGATCAAAACCAAATCGATGTATATGCGCTCTCACAGTTTCTACTGGATGCATTTCATGGTTTTTACATTTCATACAAGGATAGCTGATATGGCCAATTGAAGTTGCATAATTTTTGGTGACCTCAATAAAAGCAGATAACCCATTCCAATATTCATCTAACAATCGGTTCCTCAAAGAAGTCTAACTTTTTTCAATCGACATTTCAACTATAAACGACAACAGACATAAAAATTTATTAATGTGTTTAATTAATTTTAATTTTACTCTTAATTAACACAATTAAGTTTTATTAATTAAAGTGTGTTAATGAACTTATTAAAATTATGGTTTCTTAACTAAATTTTGGCAGCATAACGACTAATTTTTCATATAATTCAAAAATCAAAACCTGCAGAAAAACAACTTTAAAAGATTTCGGCACACCATAGCTGCAAGATGTGCCATCCAGAATAAGAATCATAAACATATACTAAATTTCAACAATATAACAAAATCATAATTCAAATATTGTCATCATAATCCCGAATTCATACAACTACTACAATTCTAAACTAAATAAATATAAAAAACTTACAAAGTTCAAACCCACTAAACGGGGGCTGAAAATAGAAGGATTACGTCGGAGGAACCGTGCAAACAAGGACGAAGGCGAAAAATCAAACGCCTACTCAAACGCCTACATCAAATTAAAACATCAAACATAATTTTCAAACACCAAAATTAGCAATTTATTAACATAACACTAAGGCTGCAAATTGCCAAACGTTTGGAGATCTCAAATCCAGTCACTTCAGTTTTTTATATATTGTCTGGAAAGAAGTGCTGGCAATGAACTTTGGATTACTCAATTGCAGTTTTCAAGTGAATTAAAAATATACAGCCATGAAGTTCATAAGAAGATTATTTTAATTCGAAAAAGTCTTGTTTAGAGTGAGATAATATCTCTTGTTTCACATGTCAGCCATAGCATATCTCAGAAAATCCAATATTCAATATTCATGCAAGTTGTAAGATACTCTCACAAATGACAAATACAACTAACATTACTTGTTAACTACTTAACTTATGTAAAAAAAATATAAAAAATATAAAAAAAACATTCAACTAATTAACAATTAAGGTGAATCAATTTTTTAATTGATAACAAAAAGCAAGAGAAATTAGAAGACGGCGACTAAGAATCCTTTTCCACCAAGCAACATGCTTTTTTCAATGCCAATACATGAATATTAGCTACTCAAGAGGGAAATTCTCAAAAAAATAATAATAAATAAATAAATAACATTAAGGATGGAAAACTAAAACAAGTCATAATAGGTAGGCGATGAAAATAATAATTGAAGTAGTACGAGGACTTTTCTATCAATGTCACTATCCACATGATTCTTACGTTTAATTTATAAATAGAAAATATTGATCAATAAAGTTAAATTTAAATTAACGAATATGAAAATTTAAGCAATCACTCGAAAATATACGAAGATAATTATCTAAAGTCCGGTCTAATTTTACGAAGCTTAATAATTTATGAAAGGCTACGAGTACAAATTCTATAGGAAAAAAAAATGCTATGTTCTTCATACTCGAATCTAATTCTAAGTATAATCTAGTTCTAAGTATAATGCTTAGGAAATGATTCTAAGTTCTAAGTATAATCTAGTTCTAATAACAAGTTATTACAGAATTGTTTTAAGAAAAAAAAAAAAAAAAAAAACTAACTAACCATTACCAGAGAGAGAAAGACCGGAAGAGAGACAAGGGGAGAGAGGGAAGGGGAAGGCCGGCGGCTGGGGGCGGCGGGAGGCGGCGGCGGAGAGATTTGCAGGAGAGAGAGAGAGAGAGCGTCGGGAGAAAATGAAAAAGAAGAAGGGGGGATATTAGGTCAGAGTTATTTGCGACGACATATTCGTCGCAAATAAATTTAAAATGTCGTCGCTAATAATAAATATTTGCGACGACAATATCGTCGCAAATTAATAAAATATCGTCGCAAATACTAAAATATTTGCGACGATATTTTCTCGCCGCAAATATTTTAAAGTCGTCGCAAATAATGTTTTTTTCCCGCGCCTACTTTATCGTCAAATAAGTTTATTTGCGACGATGATAAAACAATGTCGTCGCAAATCAGCTAAAACTATTTGCGACGCCTAATGTCGTCGCAAATAGTCATGACTTGTCATCGCAAAAAAACGGATTACCTTGGCGCCAATAATCTGCGCCATTGAAAATTACGCGCCAATATTATTTGCGACGACACTGAAATTATTAGCGATGACATTGATATTTTATTTAACGGTAGGTATTTGCGACGACATGTCGTCGCAAATAGTGTATTATTTGCGACGACAAATGTCGTCGCAAAAGGGCATAATTGTTGTAGTGTTTCCAGCTGTTGGCGCTGTGCTGCGTTTGTTAGTTTTGCTCTTTCCAGCTGTTGGTTATTTTACTCGGCTATATATATCCTTTTGTAGCTCTCTCAGAAATTAATGAGAATGTGATTCATTCTTCAGTCCATTAGTTTTCTATTCTAATATGATATCATAGCAGACTCTTCTTGCTGCTACTCATTGATCCATGGCGCGTGGTGGTCAGCAGAATCACTTCGAGCCTTTGGCTACTACACCAGCCAGTGGTTCATCGCAGAGGTTGGCATCTACTATGGAGGATTCTAACAGTCCTTTCTACCTCCATAGTGGTGATAATCCCGGTCTCACCATGGTTTCACATCCCTTGAATGGGCCAAATTACAACACATGGAGCATATCTATGCTCATGGCGCTCAATGCCAAGAATAAGGTGGGATTTGTGGATGGCACTCTACAGAGACCTTCCTCTGATGACCTGACCTTTAGTTTTTGGTCCAGATGCAACAGCATAGTGACCTCTTGGCTTCTCAACTCGGTGACGAAAGAGATAGCAGACAGTCTACTCTACCTTGAGAGTGCGAGAGATGTGTGGAATGATTTGTATGAACGATTTCATCAAAGCAACGTACCTCGTATTTTCCAGATCAAGATGCTTCTACTTGGGTTATCTCAAGGGTCTCTTGATGTCCACAACTACTACACCAAGCTCAAAATTCTTTGGGATGAACTCAAAGATTATCAGCCTGTTCCCGTTTGCAGCTGTGGAGGAATGAAGAAATGGATGGAATATCAACAACAAGAGTATGTGATGCAGTTTTTAATGGGTTTGAATGACTCTTTTGCATCCATACGTGTGCAGATCTTGATGATCGGCCCTCTGCCTTCTATTTCTAAAACTTTCTCTCTGGTTGTTCAAGAAGAACGTCAGCGAACTATTGGTGCTGAAGTTGCGGCTACACCAGAATCCATGGTTTTCCAGTCATCTACCTTTGTTTCTCCCTTACCGGTGACCAACGCAGTTGCTGCTTTCAATCGTTACAAGCCTAGAGGTAATAGGCCCAGCTGCACACACTGTGGACTAATGGGCCACACGGTTGATAATGCTATAACTACATGGCTATCCACCTGGGTTCAAGCCCAGATCTAGGTCCGGCCCATCTAGAGCAACTTGCCCACAGAACTCCATTCAATCCAACTTTGCTCATCAGGTTTTCATAGAAAAGCTGCCGCCAGTGTTTCCATCGCCTCTAGCGCAAAGTCCGATTCAGACCTCTTCTTCCTTCACTCAGGATGAATGTCAAAGGCTCATTGCGCTTCTGAGTTCGCAACTTCATCTCAATACCAGCAACCAACCTGAAGTTCATAAGCCCGATGTTCCATCTGCCTCTCATTTCACAGGTATACATTCCTACTCGCCTAATTTTTCTTCCGTTTCACCCCTCTCTGGTAGTTGGGTCATTGACACGGGTGCTACGCGTCACGTATGCTCCGATCTCACACTTTTTTCGTCTTTCACTCCATCACCCGGAACAAAACTCACGCTACCGAATGGAGACCAAGTGGATGTCACACACATTGGTTCAGTCATCTTACCAAATTCTTTAGTCTTGTCTAGTGTGTTTTTTACTCCCTTATTTCGTTTTAATCTTTTGAGTGTAACTGCCCTCACTAAAGCTTACAACTGTTCTGTTGTTTTTTGGTCAAATTCTTGTTGTATTCAGGACCTTGCTTAGAGGAGAACGATTGGGATGGGTAGACGAGATGGCAACCTATATTTTCTAGATTTAGGCAATCCCATTTGTAATCAGTTTTCTTCATGCAATTTTATTTCCTCCAAATTGCCCAAACAGAACATTTGGCATGTTAGGCTTGGACATCCCTCTGATGTAAAGTTGAAATCAATGAATAAAGAATTAAATCTGCCTTCCTCGTCCGTTTCTGATCATTTACATTGTTCGGTTTGTCCCCTTGCAAAACAAAAGCGTTTACCTTTTCAATCTCATAATCACTTGTCACCAAAACCATTTGATTTAATTCACATGGACATTTGGGGTCCCTTTCACACACCAACAACAGAGGGTCACCGTTACTTTCTCACTATTGTAGATGATTGCACAAGAAACACCTGGTTATTTTTGTTACAAGCCAAATCAGAAGTTAAAAAGGTTGTTCCTCATTTTTACCATATGATTCTGAATCAATTTCATGTTGCCATCAAGTCCGCTCGTTGTTGTGCGTGAGGGGGCGTATTATAATCCTACATTGGCTGGAGATATTAGCATGATCCACTTAATAAGGTGAGGGCAATCCTCCCCTAACAAGCCAGTTTTGTTAGGTTGAGTTAGGCTCAATATCCTTTGATTTCTGTAAAATGATATCAGAGCAGGCCCAGTTTTGCAATGTTGGGTCCCCTAATATCGACTTATTCGCAGCGGTTTAGCATGGTCCACGCTGTGCGTGAGGGGGCGTATTAGAATCTCACATTGGCTGGAGATATTAGCATGATCCACTTAATAAGGTGAGGGCAATCCTCCCCTAACAAGCCGGTTTTGTTAGGTTGAGTTAGGCTCAATATCTTTTGATTTCTGTAAAAAAATAAAAATCTGGCAATTTGAAACATTCGGCTGGATGGGATATCAACAAAATGGAAAATAATATTATTGTTGTTTTTTTTTTTTCTTTTCTTTTTTTGAGGGTAAAATAATGTTGTTTTACCCTTTTATTTTTTTTTTCCACCAAAATCAAAAGTTAGGCCGGCTGACATGGTCAGATTTCCATGTGGCCTCTCATCTCCAGACACTTGGTCATGATATTGTGAATGAAAAAATTTAGTTACGGTATAATCAAAGTTTTAGAAGAGAGAAATTCTCAGTTTAGTGAGCGATTAATGTAAATGGTTTGACTGATCAAGTGAATATAATTGATGAGATGATGAGGTATTTTTACTAGCTTTATTTAATTAAGATTTGAAGGAAATCAAGAAGTAATTATCTGCCATTGGGACGAATTACAGATTTCTAACAGATCGAGAATGCTGACTCAATATATTTCTAATTAACTAACAAGCTATTACCTAACTTCTTCAACGACGATAATTAAAACTGTCAAAAAAATGGAGAGAAAATTGTAGCGTACTTGAAAAATAACCAATATTAATAATGGTATATTTATCATTAGAATATAATTTTTTTGTCACAGCAAAAAAATATATAATTTTTTTTTTTTTAGCTCAAAGTATCAAAACATTATCAATATTATTGGCAATACTCTTACACTGTTGCTGTGCCGGACCTGCCTGCCGCTGACTGTCTATTTTTTGCCGACCTATCGGTCTATTTGGTGTTTATATCTCCTGGCGTTTTTCTTTTGGTTGCAATTGATCAAATATAAAACTAATGATATTCATTAAATTATATATGTTGCTAGGATTTGTCGTTCTCAATGAATTAAGTTCAATAACATGTTTGCAAGCAGGAAATATTGATCAATATAAAACTATTAATTTCATGTGTCCTTTCTCCGATTGATCTTATTAATAGGTATCCTTTTACACGTTTTAGGCAAACGTATGCACAGGATATTAAAACAAGAACAAATTCCCTAGGCACATGCTTATCCATGAAATTTATTGTACTTGCAAGTTAAATCTCATGAAATATTTTTAAAAGCACGTAATGTGATTAGCAAAAAAAAAATGTATGTAATGTAATGAGGTTTAAATATATGGATGTAAAAGTACTTACCATGATATGTTCGTACATCTCATAGGATATTAAAGTAGGACTGTGCAAAAAAACTGTAAAACTGAAATCGACCACCACCGATCGAAAAATTGACTGCTCAAAAACTGAAAAAAAAAATGCGCCACGCGGAACCGAATATAGTCAGTTCGGTTAACCGACCGAACTGCTTCCTAAGCGTTTCAGTTTCGGTTTTGGGTTGAGAGGTTCGGTTAAAAACCGAACCGACTGAGTCTTTTTTTTCTGAATGTTGTTGTTGCTTTTTTTTTTTTTACTTTCATTCTTCATTTGATGTCATTTTTTTCCTCTTTGCTGGTAATCTACTCATAATAAATAGTTGCATTTACACACCTTGATTGGGACAAAGCATATGTAATGACTGAGAAAATTCCAGACCTTAAATAATACAATTCATGTATTTTTAAGCCAAGAATTTTCTTAGAAAATATTATGTTATATTGTGAATGGAGGATTTATGGAATTAATATATGTATTCCTAAATTCTATAGCAAATTTCATGTTAAGTTCATGTTTCGATCAAGTAAATTCGATCGATAAATTCTCGCCGTATTTTAAGGCGGAATAATTTTCAGTACAAGTATAGTTTGAGAATCTTAATTTCAAGAATCTCTAAGCACAGCACGATGTTAGCGGCGTATAAAAAAAAACGCACTGGCATTTTAAAAGAAGAAAAAAATCCTTAATTGCTAGACAGTTAGGTTAAAGTCACAAGATAAATACCTATAGTAGATGGATACAATATGAGCTCGGGAGTTGACACTGTCAGAAACGTCATTCTTGGGATAGAATACAGAAAATTAAAATTTAGAATTTGTTCAGTCTAAAATTAATTTCAAGACTTGAAACAGTTTGAAATATTACGTGAGTAAGAATATAAAACAATATTGAATTATTCAAAAATTGATATTGGACTGTAAGTAGTAGATTAACTTACGTGAACTAAACTAATTACCTCTAATCAGTATAAATTTAATCTGTTTAGAGGAAATAATTGAGGATAAGATCAGGCACGTAATCTTGCCTTAATCAGATACTTTATATAGTGAAATTTTTAGGGTTTTTGCACTTTCTTTCTCTTATTCTCGCTCATTCTCTCTCCTCTCACGTTTTCTCTCACACAAACCATCAATGGCCAAATACTCAAGTTAAGATTCCGACCTCCATTTTTGACACCGCCGGTGTCAATAGAAAGATCTCGACGAGCTGAGTTCAACGACATGCGGCACGACCTCCAACCCCGCCGGAATCAGCCGCAATCGCCGGCGGAAGTTCCGAAATTCCCATTTCTTCCCGTCGTGATATCTCCGCCATCCGACCTCCGATTGAGATGATTTCAGTCCCTATGGACTCAGTACAGCGAGACGAAGAAAACCCATCCATTTTCACAGCTCGATTCTGGCCGGAGCACCGCCGTCCGTGGTGGTCGGAATC